CCTGCCCCGGCCCCGCCTCTCTTCCTGCTCCGGCCCCGCCTCTCTTACTGCTCCCCTCTAGGTGGTGCCTCCCAAGGCCCTCAGCCCCGGCTCCTCTCACCATGGACGGCACCCCCAACAGCCGACCCAGGAGCCCCCCGGCGCCCCATCGCTCGGCTACGCCCACCCCCACGTCAGGCCTCCTTAGGGGCCGGGCGAGCCCCCTGCTCAGACCTCGGGCCTCCCTTCCACCTGCTGGGCGCCTGCTCCTGGGCTCCAGCCGCTCACGGCGCAGCCAGACCCCGCCCCGCTGCCCTGTCACGGGCAGGGTGACTTCCTCTTCCCTCCCACAGGGGGCGCTCCTGCTGAGCGGAAGTGAGACCCTCGCGCTCAGCGCCCCGCCCGGAAGCCGTAGGTCCAACAGCCGGCGGGGGGCGCCTGCAGGAGGGCCAGGCCCTCGGAGCCCTGTGCCGCCGCGGCCCCTCGGCTGTGCCTCTCGCTGCCCGTCCCCTTGGGGCCTCGACCCCACAGACACCCATCGCCCTCAGCCTGACCTCTGGTGGCCTCTGCCTCCCGCTGCCCCCTGCGTGACCCCGGCAGGGGCCCCGTCACGGCCTCCTGGCCTGTGTGGGTGGGTGGCCGAGCCTCGGGGACACCAGGTGGCTTGCCGCGCTCCCGGCCACCTGCAGAGACCGCCTAACAGATCGGCCGCGGCTCTGGGCGGCACCCCCGGGCCCGGGCGCCAGTCCTAACTCTGCCTCGGGCCCCGCCCTTGCACATGACCTTGGCCTCTCTGCCCCGCCCCCAGCCCCCCGAGTGTGGGTGACAGTAAGCCCTCCCGCGGCCTCTGTCCGTGAGCGTGTTCCCAGCGCAGCTCACTAGCGTGGCCTGTCCCTTGTGCCCGTGCTGCCCCGGCCGTGAGCACCCTGCTGACTCCTCTCCCCGGGGTGACAGGTTCTCCCCGGGATCTTCCTTCCCGTGGTCCCCACAGGGCAGCCGTCCTCCGAGCCAGGGGGACGCCTCTGTGCTCCTGCCCCCGCTCTTCACCCTCATGTCCTCACTCCCCGCCCTTCCCCTCTGCCGGCCCTTCCCCGCTCCCCCCCATCTCGGGACCTAAACGCACTTCTCGTGAGTGTGGACTTTGTACACAGCCACCCGTCAGCACTGAGCCCCCACCTGGTCCTCCCTGCCTCTGCCCCTCGTGTGTCTGCCCTTCCGCCCCCGCCCCGGGACGCTGCCCCCGAGGCCACACGCCCGCCCGCTGTGCGTTCTGTCCCGAAGCGTGGCCTCCGCCGCCTTCCCCGCCCCTGCTCTGCACACGCACGGCCGCCTCCTCCGTGTGACTTAACGCTGCAGGCGCTTGGCCCTCCGTGACCGACGGGCCGGCCTCGCCCTGCCCGGTGTAAGCGCTTTCTGCGGAGCGGAGCTGGACCCCCAGGTCATGGGGCGGAGTCCTCACGAGCTGGATTTGTGTCCTTATAAGGGGTCTCCAGAGAGCTCCCCTGGCCCTTCCGCCACGTGAGGACACAGCTCTCTGAACCAGGAAGCCGCCTTCCCAGGCGCTGCCGCTGCTGACTTGGTCTCAGACGTGCAGGTGCAGGACCGCGAGCCGTGGGCGTCCGCTGTGACCAGCCCCGAGCCTGCTCTGCAGCCGCCCTCCTGCGCCTCCCCCACCCCACGCCCTCCTGCGCCTCCCCCTGCCTCCTCAGCCTCCCACCCCGCCAGCACTGCAGCTGAGGTCGGGGACAGCCAGCCAGGCCCTGACTCCGACATGACCTCTAGATGAGGCCCCCGCTGACGGCCCCCCAAGTCCCTCTCCCAGAAGGCTGCACTCCGGTGCCAGCACCCCTGCCTGGGTGCCGTCGCAGTGACCCGTCGGCCCTGCACTGCCGATATTACGCAGCCATCCCCCACCTGGGCCGCGGGCCCCTGGAAGGCTGCTCCGGCCTGGGGCCCAGCACCCGGCACGCAGGCCCCGGCACGGCTCAGGGGTGCTTTTCCAGCAGAAAGCCGGGGAGGGGCCTCCGTTCTTGGGGAAGGAAGCTGTACCCCCGGATGACTCTCCTCTTTTGCCTCATGGGTCTGAACAGATGCTCAGAGAAGGTACCTCAAGTGCCCGGTAAGAACCCGGAGCACCTTGTTCCTCCTCCGTGCCTCCCGCTTCCCCCCGCTTGGCACGTGGTCTCCCCAGGTGGCCCCGGCTGGGGGTCCTCCGCCCACCACGTGTCCCCACGGCTGGGCCACGTCGGAGACCCCAGGGTGCTCACCGTTGTTCTGCGTCTGCCAGACGGCGTCGGACACGCCCCAGAGGCCGGGGAATACGAAGAACACGGCCAGCTGGTGGGGGTGAGGCCTCCACAGCAGGAGGGCGATTATGCAGGACAGCTGTGTCACCGCGCCTGTGGGTGCAGAGGGGAGGTGAGCGCCGCCGAGCCGCCAGGGACTCCGTGTGCTTCGCTGTGAAAACGTTTCCTGGAAATACCCCAGCCCGGTCCGCAGGTGGCCTGGGATGGTGCCGGCTGGCCCGTGGCGCCCTCCACAGGCTAACTGCACTCATTCCAGAAACTGCTGTCGCGTCAAAGAGCAGCTGCATCTGCGCTGGCTGTGTGGCCCGCGGCGGGTTGCCACACTTCTCTGTTCCTGCCTTTCCTCATCTGGAGCCTGCGCTGGGTGCCACCACAGGGCGAGTGCAGGCATGAGCGAGGGCACCCGTGCCAGCCCCTCGGCCCTGGTGGGCGCTCACGGCCCTTCTGTTCTCCCCTCCCGCTGCACCCGCTCCCCACACACCGGAGCCCCTGCCTGGGCGGCCGGGTGACTTTTGTCAACACCCTTATTTCTCGTTATTTGCAGCATCTCATCTCTGTTTCCTCTCTCTTCCCTTCCCAAGAGAGACAGAGGCTGATGCGTCGTTGCCCACGGCAGGACGGGTCGCCTCCTTCAGGAAGCCGCCCTGCGGTGCCCACACCTCGCTGAGCCAACACGCCCCGGTTCCGCCGCCTGCATCCGGCCAGCGTGTCCACCTACCCAGCGCGTAGAGGGCGGCTCTGCCCGTGTACTGGGAGATCCTTCCGTACAGCACCGAGCACAGCGAGTTGATGGCCGAGAAGCAGATCATCACGTAACCGACGAACTGGATCCCCAGGGCGCAGGTGGCGTAGGACTGCGGGACGAAGCACAGGGGCGCTAGCGGGCGGCGAGGTCTGGCGGCTCCGGATCGGGGCCACGCGGGCCGCCTGGAGCCTGTCCCGGCCTCCTGGTGCCCGCGGAGGGGAGCGAGCTCAGCTGGGTGGGAACCGACGAGGGCGGCCGTCTGCCCAGGACGCTCCCCGCGCGTCCTTGGCCTCATGTTGTGCTTCTGATGAATTACGGAGGCGCTAACGTGAGCTACTGCTCGTGGATTCGGTCATTTCCTACTCTGCACACACGGCTGAAGGAAGGTGTGGGGAACTGGCAGAGGCCCGGGCATTGCTGGGGCAGCGAAGCGCCCTTGCGTGATACCCCGGGGCCGGGTGCGTGTCCTCCCGCGGCCGTCCAACCCCACAGCGCGCACGGCGCCAAGACGGCCCTGACCCGGGTGGTGATGCCGGCTCTGGTGCGGGACGTGGATAATAGGGAGGCTGCGTGTGATCAGCGGCAAGGCCCGTGGGAGGGGCCCTGACCAAATGCCAAGGGACTGTGCTGTCATCTCTGGCTTTACTCTTCGGAACCCCACGACGCGCCGTCAGGGCCGTGCAGGAGCGGGCGCCAGAGGGGATGCAGGCCTGCACACCCTGCACGGCGCACGTGCGTCCTGAACGATACTGCGGCTTACTTGGAATTCGGATCTAACCTGGAAGGGGGCTTGTGGCAGGCATGAAGTACGAGAAGGTTCCTGACAAGTAGGAGCAACCCTCAGGGGCCAGCCTCAGGGACAGGCGCCCCAGCCCCCACCCAGCCCTTTCTGGAAAACGGTGCCTTTGGTTGTTAGAGGCCGCCTTTCCCTGGCACCGGGAGGTTCCTCAGGGCCGGACGCCTCGTGCGCAGGGAGCAGGGGGCGACAGCTTGGCGAGAGGGCCGGCTGGTGGCCGCGCCCTCCTGCCTGCCCGCCCCAGGGCACAGGGGTCCCTCTGAGGGCCTGTCCCCGGGAGGCCCTCCCTGTGCACACGGGTCAGGCAGAGCCTGGGCCAGGCAGGCATCTAAGGCAGGACGGAGCCCGAGAGCCACATCCATTTCCGGATTGAAATGCGTTTGAAAGGCTGCCTGAGGAGGAATTCCAGTGTTATTCGTGGGTGTTACATTTTCCCGTATGTTTTACTCTATGACAAGGACATAGTGTGCGGTGCAGCCAGCGTAACACAGGTTCTCTGTGAGGGCCTTTCACCCTGAAGACAATCTCGAGTGAGACGTGGCCCCTCGAGGTCAGGCCCAGCCCCGGGAGGAGGGGGTGACCTGGGCCATAGACACCGCTCTGCTCAGGCCGGAGGGACCTGGCCCGCCCGCAGGAGCCCCGGCCCCCACCCGGCCCCGGGCAGGTGCACGGCGCACGTACCCTGGTGTAGTCTCCAGCCAGGAAGGCCTGCTCGAACCCGCTGTACATGGGCAGTAGCAGCAGCAGACGCAGGCGTTTATCTTGAAGGAGCCGGAAGGTCGACAGCAGCGTGGACCAGAAAGGCAGCTTCTTGCCTCCTTTGCTTTGCTGCTGAGCATCTTTGATGGGTTCCAGAAACACAGCGATGAGCAGCACGGCCAGGACGCCGCTCCCTGGAGGGAAGACAGAGGGCGAGTGCCCCGGGGGGTCCAGGCGCTGCCGGCCACCCAGCACCCATCTGCCCCCTTGTCTCCTTTGGGGCATCGATTCGGGGCCAGCAACACAAAACCGGGGAGACCTCCATGTTCTCAGTGCCCTTCACGAGCGACTGCTCCCCCCGTCGGCCCCCCGGGTGATTTCCTCAACAGCCGGTCTCCCTTCTTAGGGTGACGAGTTGCAGACATTCGCATTTGCTAAGTTTTACGTCTGTTCCAGCCTCTTTCCCTGGAAGCCCTGGGGGAGGGGGTGCGCTGGGCGAACCCAGATGGTGCCCCCTGAATGCGACGGGCCCTGAGGCGCCGCTGCAGGCGGGGTGCTGTGCTCGGGGCGGTGTGTGCGCTGGGGTCCCGGCCGAGGGAGCACGGCGGGGGGGCGCCCCCGTTTGTGGTGGGTGCGAGTGCCCTAACTGCAAACAAATTTTGTTCAAGACAACCATTCATCTCGCCCGCGGGGGCGACCCTGTGCCTTCACGGTGCCCTAGGGGGTGACGGATCTCTGTGTGCGCCACGCATCCACTGCGTTATCTGGATCGAGGGCTAGGGCTCATGACCTCCTTCCTTGCTGGTGTGGTGGCGCCTGTGTCCCTGTCCCGGTTTGCTCCTCCCTGGCCACGCTAAGTACACACAGGGCTCTGGGAGCCACGGATGGACCCAGGTGGACTCAGGAGCCGTGAACCTTTTTCCGTGTCTCTGAGGGGCAGTCAGAGGTTTCCAACCTGATGGTTGAGACCCGGAGGCTTCTGAAGGTGACCTGAATTACTGTTTCTCTGTACCCGGTCTCAGTGGCCTTAGGCGATGCAGTGTCCACCTGCCGCGGGGCGCTGGCCCGGTGCTGGGGGAGCGCCAGGCTCACGACCCGCCCTCCGCCGCGGTGTCTGCGGAGGTGACGTCCCCGCCCATGTCGGAGGTGCTGGTCTACTTCTAAGCCTGATTTCTGTCGTTAGCCGCTTGCCCCCAGGCTAGACACAATCCTCTCTCCCCAGGTCGGGGTAGCTCCGCATTTTCATGACACGTTACTCAACACACAGGCATGGAAGTCTGCGGGCCCACGATGCGCAGTCACTACCTGTTCCCTCGAGACCTGGTGAGTGCCACCAAACCGTCAGAGCCGCATCAGGGGCGCCCGGGCACCTCAGTGGTCAAGCAGCTTCCAGAGCGGCCTGCCCACAGGGCACACAGGTGTGTGACCACATGGAGAAGGTGCGTCATCAGGTCCCCCTGACTGGGGACCAAGGCCTCCCCCGTGGGCGGGCAGGCAAAGCCGTCAGGACACATGACTCCCAGGAGAAGAGCCACGTGGCAGCCCCGCAGGGTGGGTCATGGTACAGAGGCCACGTGTTTACCAGGAAAAACCGCACTCTGTCCAGGGCTCCCGTGGCCCAGAACCTTTCTAAGGGGCATGAACGTGCCTGTGCCGCACACTTAATACACTAAAGAGAATGGCCTCACGAGAAACTTCATCACGAGGACAGAGCTCGGAGATCGCGGGAAAACGCTTCGGGAGGTGGAATCCTCTTTCCTTTAGTCCGTTTTTTTTGTTGTTGTTTGTTTTGTATGGGTTTTTTTTTTTTTCATCTCTATGGTAACAGGGCCTCGCTCACAAGAAGGAAACCCGCACGGCAGCCAGGATCCAAATAAGAGACCATTTCTTCGTGTGACACAGACACAGGGTCTGTTTTACATAACCAGCGGCACTGCCCCTCCCCCGGCCCCTGGGCTCCGTGAGCGCGAGTTCTGGGTGACGTGCGTGGGGCCGGGGGCAGCGCTGGAGATGTGCGGCAGGGGGCTGAAGGCGGGTTCTCACAGGGGAAGGCGTGCGGAGGCCCAGGGGCCGAGGACAGGAACCTCACACAGGGGCTGAGGGTGCAGAAAACACGTTCTCCGCGGCCTGTGCTGTTCCTTGGGACCAGGGCGACTGGGTCCGCAGGCCAGCTCCTGCTCGTGGCTGCTTTTGTAAGTAAAGTTTTATTAGAACCAAGCTCGCTCTGCATTTATATGTTACCTGTGGCTTCTTTTCCAAAACATCACTGAATAGTTACCGCGGAAACCACTCTGTCCTCAAGCCTAAAATATTTACCGTGGGGCCATGGGGGAAAGTGGGAGCGCTGCTGTTTTGCAGACCAGGGGTGGGGCGAGCACGCAGTTTGTCAGGGACGGGGCCGGGCTGCCCGCTGCCCACGGCTCCGCTCTCCACGCCCACCCCTGCTCAAACCTCTCTGGTCTGGCCCTCACACCTCTCCGTGGCTCTGTCGGGGGGCAGCAAGGGCCCCCCTGGGGCCCGACCTCATCCGGAGCCTCCATCTCAGCCGCACCCCCACTGCTGCTGTGACTGGGGTGTCCCCGATGCCTCTGGATTTGTCTCCAGAGCCTCCCGCCCTCGGCCAGGCCTGCGGTTCGGGCGCGTCCTCTTCTTCCTCGCCTAGCCTTTCTCTTCGTCCCTGAGAATCTCATCCGACCCGCGATGTCACTTCAGCCGTCCCCCAGAGACGCTCCCACGGACACCCGGCACCGCGTCCCCGGAGGAGCGCTGCGCCCGGGCCGCGAACTGCCGAGGGGGCCCGCGCCCACCGTCCGGTCAGGCTGGCTGCTTCCCGAACGGAATTCTTCATTAGATTCCGGGCTTGTCCGGCCTGTCCTTTCCTCAGCCCACGTGTGGTCTGTAGATAAGACTCCAGTTTTTGTTGTAAGCTCTCGCTGCCCTTTACTCTTCATTCCGCCGATGGTGGGACTCGCCCCTGGGCTGGCTTCTCTGCCCGCGGGTTTTCCGTATTTCCAAATTACGCTCATGCTGGAGTCCGTCCAGGAAAGGGGTCTGCACCTGCCCAAACTCCGGCGCAGCATCAAGGCTTCTCATGGAGCTCACGGCTGGCCCCGCCCGCCACGTCTGGCTCCCCTGTCCCCTCGGTGCCGTGTCCTCCAGCTACGGCAGCGCCTCTGGAGTGGCCTCCCCCTCCCCCTCCACCTCCTTGTCCTTCGAGACCCGCTCGGTACTTCCTCCTCGTCACAGTTGCCCTGGACCCCAATTTCCCGAGAAGATGGGACCACGTGCCAACTGGCAACCTTGTTCAAAACACTTGGATCAAACTTCTGTTAGCTGAACACGCGTCTCCTGTCCTGGGCTCTGCTTCTCGACGGCGAGGGTCCCGACTTACTAGCTTCAGGACCGGAGAAAGTCCACACTATGACTTGGCACTCGCTGGTGCTCACTCCGCCGTGTCAACATACAGTGGCCGTTTTTCACGTTGTCACTCAGTGACCTCTCATCTGGAGGAGACCTTGCTGGCGGCTGATTGTCTCAGCACAGAGACAGATTCCCACACGGCCTTTGTCAGCTTTGATCCCGTCAGGATCCTGGCCCCACTCCCACCAAATTCAACATATTTCAGACCCGCGATCTTTAAGAAGGACCAAGAATAGATTTAAATTCTCTTCAAATGGTAAAAACAAACAAACCCAACCAACACAAAAAAAACACTACTCTAAAAATACCCCCTTTAAAGTAATGATAAATCTATGACTCTAACAGAGAAGTCATTTAGAAAATGATTAACAGAAATATTTTCCATTAAAATGAGCTTCTAAGGATAAGAATCAGGAGATTTAGGCAACCATCTTTCCATGAGCTTCCGATGTGTGTGTGCCTTCAGCAACATTGTGACTAGCAGCTGAGAACCCAGGGTCTTCCTGATGCAAGGATGGTGGGCGCAGGAAGGACCCCGGCCCCACACCAGTGGGTGCCATTCAGATATATCCCTCAGAAGGAAATGACAACTTACAGGATTTGTGATTTCCAGGGTCACTTGAACAGAGCTGACCCACAAGTAGCCCACCCACCAATGCCGTGGTTCACCCTGGTGCTATCCAACATGGCAGCCATCAGCCCCCTTGTGGCCATCAAGCATTTGCCATGTGGCTGTTGTGACTCAGGAACAGCATTTTTAATTTAGGTAATAAAAATATGAATAAGCACACATGGCTGACGGCTACTGTTGAACTTTGCAGAGGAAAATGGTTCTGTGATCGCAGGAAACTATCCGACAGCCCTGACCTGCTGTATTTGATCTCATGTGTAAAATTCCTGGGTCCAGTCCAGCCAACTGCACTTGACAGGACTCTTTATACTTTGGGAAGACGCTCTCTTTCAACACGGGGAGGAGGAGCTAGGCTTGCTTTCCTCGGGACTCGGCCCGCTGTGCGCACCTACCTGTGTAGATGCCCAGCAGGGTGTAGATCAGCGTCTGCGAGGGGCGCTGGGTGCTGTTGGTGGACGCCGTGGCCATTAGGCAGTCGCTGGCCCCGCAAGACAGGAGTTGCTCCTCTGGGGCGGCCCCTGCACAGTCGGAGGGAAACAGGTGACATGAGAACACGGAGAACTGGTAGGTCAAGGGGCATGAAGTGCATAGCTAACGGGCCTGCACCTCACAGATGAAGAGTCACGATAGGTCAAAGTTGTGAGACATGGGTTTATTCGGCCAAGTGCCTCCAAATATACTCCCCCTTCGGCACGTGTCCAGATACATGATTTTCAGACACTCTGGACAAAAGCTGCTCGTATTACTTTCTGGACGCAATGAAAACGTTCAACATCTCCAGACTAATCAAGAAGAAGTAAGATGCGCCAGGACAGAACCACCGGCTTCTCTTTCAGACTCAGCCATAGCGGTTGCATGACCTCAGGTGGCTGCTTGTACCCTTCCTGAGTGCTGGTTTCCCTATCTGCTAAGAGAGTAAAACGCACACCACCAGCCAGTGACTCTCAGGCCGCGTCAGAGTCTCTGGAGAGAGGAGACAGACGTCATGGAAGAAAGGACATTTATCGTGATACCAATCTCACCGCACAGAACACCACAAGCCCCCCTTGGCTGGTGAGCCCCGCAGTGTGGAGCATGAGAGGCGGCCTGTCACAGTGCCCTGGGGATGCCTCGCCCCTTGGAGCCTGGGTCCCGAGGTCGATTCGAGAATTAAGCTCATTTGCCTGAATGTCTTAGATTTGTCCACTTCGCTTCCCACCAGTCATGCGGTAGACACTGAGCCTTAGTACCAGTGTCTGTTGATTATTGCTGACCTCGACAGAAATAATGAGTGAAACGGTGTCTATGTTGGTTTTTTTTTCTTCATGCACTTAGCGGGTGATGGCATCCCGTGAGAAACAGGGGAAGGAGAATTTGGGAGTGTCCCAAAGGCGGGACTTTATAGGGGGCAGCAGGATGGAGGGCCAGGACAGAGTCAGGACCTCCCCCCACACCCGCTGATAAAGGTTTCCTTGAATTGAAGGGATTTCTTTCCTCTGCCCTTGGTTTATCTTCAGACATCAAAGGTGCAGGCATAAAACAGATTCATACTTTATATCCAGATAAAAACACGAGTTAAGACATTAGCCATCAAGTGTTCAAATCAGTTAAGGGACAACGGGTCTCATGTGGAACATTTAAGACACTGGATGGTGGATCAGTTCAGTGGGACAATAAATCGGTCAAATTGGTTCTTCGTCTAAAAGGATAGTGATGACTCCATGAACCCAAGGCCCACTGGCAGTGGTCTCTGTTCCCCCAGGATGCTGCTCTGCAAGGGCTCCCCCTGCCCACGGAGGCAGGGACAGAATGGCCCGGGCGCTTGCGGAAAAGACAGACCTGCCCAGACTCCCCCAGAGAGCAGCTGGGGACCAGGACAGGCTGGGCACAGGCAGCTGAGAACCACGTCGTTAGGTGATTCACTTGCTCACGTTGTAGGATTAAGACGTGTGTGAATGGGGTGACCTCTCGGGGTCATCACTGAGCCCCGTTTCCTTTTACCTTGAGTGGGTTTCTGGCCAAACACCAGAGATGAGATGAGGTTGCCCCACACACCGGATGACTGGAAGATGAGAAAGAAGATGCCAAAATACTGATTCACCACATCTCTGCCAACTTTCCCCGCCTTCTCCGCTTGTGTGTTTCCCATGATGGTGAGGTACGTGCACTGAGCGGACCACAGCGGGGCCGCTCCCAGCCCCAGCAGAATGGAGGTAGGGATCAAGGTGTACCTGTAAAATAAAACACGAACAGACAGTACCTTTCCCCCTCAATCTTCCTACCTTTGCAGCGAAGGAAACTCCACACCTTGCTTGTTGTAAGCAAGGTTTATGGATCGGTTAGACTGATGGATTCACTCCAAGACCCAGATAAAGGACCAAACTCAGTGCCTTTTCTGGTTCAGGTTAATTTGCAAGGGACAAATTCATTGCCAGTGAATTTTCTTTGTGTTTGCAAGCAACTACCAATGAGCTGGGGTTACAAATAAGCCTGGGTAGTTTTTGAGTATTTCTAACAGCTTTACATTGAAAACAATTTATTTATTTTTTGAAACATTGATTGATCAATTGATCAATCGGCTTCGCTTCTTCATTGAGGACTCTGTGAAAACTCTATGGCAATAGGAAAAAGAAGAAAGTGGAATCACCATAATCATTATGTCCTGGATGACAACAGGTGCCTTCCAAGGGACGCTGGCTGCTGTGCTCCCAGGAACAAGAGCGTGGGGCCGCTGCCCCTGGAGCTTGGCCCCCGAGGACCCCTCTCCATCAGGGAGTAGATAGGGCTCGGGCTGGGCCCCTGCACCCCCTGCAACCCTGCCATGTCCACTCTCTGTGACGGGGTGAGGCTGCGCTGTTGGGTCCACGGGTCACATTCTGCTACGTCCCCTGAAATTCACTCTCGAAGTCTTAGCCAACGTCTAGCTTTCATCATCGGGGCCATAAAAGGGCCCCTGGTGCAGACAGGGAAGCTCGCGGCCCATCATGAAAGACCTAAGGAAAGGTCAGGGCTGGGAATCTCGGGGAGGAGATGGGCCCAGCAGAAGGGACAGAGACATCTTAGTGGGAAAAAATGGGAAGAAAGCCTGTCCCGTCCCAGAAGCAGAGAGGAATTTCCGGAAACAGCACTCATGTTAAAGTGAAAGCAGTGGGGAGCCTCGGGCGAGCGCCGGCTCAGTGCTCCCAAGCAGCTGAACCCGCAACCTGAGCCAGAGGCAGGGCGCGAGCTGTGTGGGCTGTACCAGCTGGCGTAGAAGTTGCCCAGGGAGAAGGCCACGTAGCAGCACATGGAGAGGACGATGGTCCACTTGCAGCCGAACTTCTTAATCAGGAGCGATGGGAGGAACATGGAGGACAGGAGCATCCCGGCGTAGAGCGTGCTGAGCGCCGTCACCCCCAGCCCTTCCTCGCTGTACAGGCTGCTCTGTGGGGACAAAGCCAGCCCTGGTCAGAGGGGCCAGCAGCCAAGGGAACAGAGCTCTGGGTCACCACTAAGTCTCCAAGACCATGAGCAACAGGCTACCCCGGGTTGGTGCCCTCCTCCAGCTGACAGGTGCTCCCCTCTGGTTAACAGGTGCTCCCCTCCAGCTGACAGGTGTTCTCCTCTGCCTGACAGGTGCCCCCATCTGGCTGACATGTACCTCCCTCCAGCTGGTAGGTGTTCCCTCCAGCTGACAAGTGCTCCCCTCTGGCTGACAAGTGCTCTCTTCTAGCTGACAGGTACTCCCCTCAGAGCTGACAGGTGCTCCCGCCCAGCTGACAGATGCTCCCTTCCAGCTGACAAGTGCTCCCCTCCGGCTGACAGGTGACCCCTCTGGCTGACGGGTGAGGCCCAGGAGGAAACTAGCACAGTCCGAACTGTACGTCAGCTGCTGCTAGTGCCTGGGGAGAGGGAAAGCCCGAGACTCGTCGCTGGGGTCGCTCCAGGGCAGATGGCCCCACACCTTCTGTGACATTTGCTTTTATCTATAGGAGAGCTTTGCATTCCCCCCTTTTAAGGCTGAGAAACCAGAGATATTGTCCTGATGGAAGAGATAAGAAGGGGACACTGTCTCCTTGTAGACTGACGTGCACAGTGAGTTACGCAGATGATCTGGGAGCTGGTACTTTAATGCCTGGACTATTAACATTCCTTCCTGCCTCGGCCTCTGAAAGACAATGCCTCGTGGTGAGGGTCCCTGTACACGCGGTGGCCAGCTACTGCTCTCTGACCCTCCCTCACTGCTGTTCTGTCCACTGGGAGCCACAGAGCCCTGGGCTGAGTTCTTACTATGCGTGGCGCCCGCGCCCCAGGGTCCCTCTTCCTTTCCTGCCCGACCCCTCAACGTGCTCCCTCATCCTTGCCCGAGCTTTCCGCACCCATTCTTCAAGGGCAGCTGTAGGGTGTCTACGGGCACCTGGATAATGTCGTCCATGGAGACCTCTGCTTTGGTCTGGTGTTAGAATTTCACCTGACCCCTGGCACATGCCACCTGCTGACCCACGGTGTCACCCCAGCTGACAACGATCCCTTCAAATGCAGGGGAAATGTTCTGCTTTTTCCAAATTTCTCTCAATGTCTTCCCCAAAGCAGGTACTTAGCAGTATTTGTGGGTTAATTAAAACAGAAAGTAAAAACAGCTAGTCCAAAGAAAACTCTGAAATCTGATGAAAACAGCACTCTGCCCTGACGTGGGGATTGTCTGGAAATGTCCATTTATGACTCTGGTTGTGAGGAGTGTGGAGTGAGAGCGTTGGATCAGCCTGAGCCTTCTGTCTCCTTCAGACAAAGGCTTTAACTCCTCCTGTGTGACTGGGCTCGCCTCCTTGTGAGTGAGTGAGAGGCGCACAGCGTTTCTCTGCATCGGGACTTCTCTTCCGCCCACGACACGGCTACAAACCGGCAAAGTGCATTAGTCACTTGTAATCGGATTTGACTGCAAACCACTGAAAAGGAGGACAGAGTTCAGTAGCCAAAGTGGAACCGCGTTTTAAAAGCAAATTTCTTTTCTGCACGCGTGACCATGTTCACGCACCTGTATCTGCCTGTGTGAGGAGAGCCAATCTGCAAAATACGTGTATGAGGGTCAGTGCGTGTGCATGTTGAATTTGAATTATGCAAGATCTGCTTGCATAAGCAATGTGGACATTCACTCAGCTCATTCGACAAAAAGGTCCTTCGGCGCTTACCCACAGCGCTTACCCGCTCTATGCACCTGCTCTAGTGGAAAAAAGGGAAATTACAGCAGCCGCTGCCCTCCAGGAGCGCACAGCGGACAGGAGCCGACAGCAGTCACTAACACCGGCGAACAGGCTATTGCAATCATTCGTGTCCTGCAAGGGAAGCTCGGGCCAGCCCGGTGGGGTCAGGAAGACTTTCTCGAAGGAGTGAAGACCAAATGAGATCTGGGGGATGAGGGGTAACCTGAGGAATGGGGGTGCCGAAGGCGGGAGATGTGAGGATGCATTTGCACGGGCCTCATCCTGGGGGGGGGGGGCGGCACGGAGCACTGGGCAGTGACCAGAGCCATCAAGCTCTTCTGGGAGATGAGGCTGGGCACCCGGCTCAGTACTGCGGAGTAGGGTCGGATCTTTAAGCCCATGGAGAGCCTGGGAAGAGAGCTCAGCTGGAGATTAGCACCCACCGATGACTCATCCACAGAGCTATCCATCATTTGCTCCGTGCGTGTCCGGGACCGTCTTAGTGAGGGGGACCTGGTCACGGAGTGGTGGCTGTGGTCCTGGCACCATGGGCTCCCAGGCGTCCTGTGGTGCCTGCCTCAGCACCAGGGGTGCTCACAGGTGTGCCCCACCCAGACTTCGGTGGCAGGGGGCGGGGAAGGGAAGGAGGTGACATCCACGTGGAGATCTGAAGGACTAGCTGCTCACTAGCCACAGGGGTGAGAGGGCTGCAACGGCTGCAGGGGGAAGGCTGTGTAGACGTGTGCCCAGGTCCCGGGGCGAGTCTGGATCAGATTAGGGACCATAGAGATGCCTGTGACCCCCAGGGGGACTGAGAATGAAGGCCACCAGATGAAAACCAAAGGAAATGACAGGGAAAGACAGGTACTTCCAGCATCTTGGGGACACAGCCATGCCTAAGGTCACTTCTGTCCACGTCGTTGCATTCTTTTGCTTAAGCCAGTCCTGACCGATGGAGCCAGTTATCCAAGTTATAAATCATATTCACATGTTCTGGACTAGGTTAGGGCTGGTACAGAGGGTGGGGGAGGTGGGCGGCAGGATTGTGCACGGAGCTGGAGGTCTGGTTCTCTGTCTCTGGTCTTCCGAGGAAGATGGCACCTCAGCAATGGTCATGGCTGCTTCTACTCCCAACACTGCAGGCGGACTGGGGTGGACCCAGATGTGCGGGGGGTAGGGGCCATCTGCTGCCTCTGGGTGGTGGCCCCTATGTCAATCACACTTCAAAAAAAAGTAACTGGGGCCCCTGGGTGGCTCAGCCGGTTTAGTGTCCAGCTCTTGATCTCGGCTTAGGTCATGATCTCACGGTTCATGGGATTGAGTCCCACATCCAGCTCTGCACTGACAATACGGAGCCTGCTTGGGATTCTCTCTCTCCCTCTCTCTCTCTCTCTCCCTCTCCTTCTCTCTCTTAAATAAAAAGAAGATATTTATTTGCATATGAGGTATTTTGCATATGAGGTATTTGCATATAAAGGGTTAATATCCAAAATCTATAAAGAACTAATCAAACTCAACATCCAGAAAATAAATAATCCAGTGAAGAAATGGGCAGAAGGCATGAACAGACACTTCTCCAAAGAAGACATCCAGATGGCTGAGAGACACATGAAAAGATGCTCAGCATCGTTCATCATCAGGGGCATACAGATCAAAACCACAGTGAGATACCACCTCACACTTGTCAGAATGGCTCAAATCAACAACTCAGGCAACAACAGATGTTGGCGAGGATGTGGAGAAAGAGGAACTCTTTTGCGTTGTTGGTGGGAATGCAAACTAGTGTGGCCACTCTGGAAAATAGTAGGAGGTTCCTCAAAACATTAAAATAGAACTACCCTACGACCCAGCAATTGCACTACTAGGAATTTATCCAAAAGATACAGGAGTGCTGATCTGAATGGGCACGTCCACCCCAATGTTTATAGCAGCGCTACCGACAATAACCAAAGTATGGGAAGAGCCCAAATATCCATCAACTGGTGAACGGGTAAAGACAATATATATATACAATGGAATATTACTCAGCCATCAAAAAGAATGAAATCTTGCTGTTTGCAACAATGTGTATGGAACCAGAGTGTATTACACTAAGTATTATAAGTCAGTTGGAGGAAGACAAACAAATACCACATGACTTCACTCATATGTGGAATTTAGGAAACAAAACAGATGAACATAGGAGAAAGGAAGCAAAAATAAGATAAATACAGAGAGAGAGAGGCAAATTATAAGAGACTCTTAAATACAGAGAACAAACTGAGCGTTGCTGGAGGGAGGTGGGGGGGGATGGGCTAGATGGGGAATGGGCATTAGGAGGGCACTTGTTGGGATGAGCACTGGGCGCTGTACGTAGGTGATGAATCACTGGGTTCCACTCCTGAAACTGGTTAAAACAAAAACAAAAACAGGTGTCCTAATCAGAGTCAAAAGCCATAATGAAGTGGAATCTGGAAAAACAAGAGAAAGGGGCTAGTTGCTGAGAGAAATGGACAATAGGAAATGAGGAAAGAGAAGAGAGGAAAACCAAGTGATATCTTTCTACGCCTCACAAAACCTACACATTTCTTCCAAAACACTTAAAAAAGAAAAAACAACAACAACAAAAAAGTAACTATCTGGGGAAGATACAGCAAATCTACTCTTTGGCAAATATGGCTCCTGTTACAGCCTTTTAGAGAGGCTTGAGGAGGAGAGAATGCCGCGGGGGTCGGGGTCAAACTTACAGAGGCCACTTTGTCCAAGTTCACTGTTTTCTTAAAGAAGCTTGGAATCTCTATGGTCTAGTGAAATATGTTAAGTGCATGTTACTACCCCAACCACAAAGCCAAAGGCATGAAGGCACAGAATTCACAATGATTCATCCTGTGACTCTCTCTCTCTCTCTCCTTTTAAATGTTTTATTTATTTTTGAGAGAAAGAAAGAGAGAGAATAGTGGGGGAGGGGGAAAGCGAGGGGGACACAGGACCTGAGCTGTCAGCACAGAGCCCGATGTGGGCCTTGAACTCACGAACCGTGAGATCACAACCTGAACTGAAGTTGGTTGCTCAACCGACTGAGCCCCAGCCGCCCCGTGTGGCTCTCTCTTTTTAACTGTGTCAAAGGCAAATAATATTTTATCACTTCACTAACCCAAGACTCACATGCCTTGCCCCTTGTCCAAGGGTCAAACACACACACACGCTGTGCAATCCTGCTGGACTGGGTGGGGTTGCACTTTGGCAAGCACATAAAAACCACGGTTTGAGAGGATTTGGGAGTGAATCAGTTACCAAGAAACCCTATGTTCCTCGTCTTCTGTGATCATGGGGATTCTTAGAGGCCATGAGACAGACGTTAGTCTAGAAGCGTCCTCACTTACCTGCAGACTCTGCAGGCCTCCGTAGGCCGTAAAGAGAAGCAGGAATCCAAAAGAAACCACGAGGACGTTCTTCACGCTTCTTTCCATCTTGCCGATTCGAGGTGTCAACCATCGGTAGACACGGAGGTTCGTTGTTCCCTAGAAGAAACCGATCGGGACACAGGAAAAGCAGTCTGAACCAAGAATCACATTCTCTCTCTCATGGGAGGCGCATAGGTTATTAAGGCTGCTGGGAGTTCATGAACTTGGTTATCACCGACACCGTGAAGCACTCTGGGCCCTGTTATTTATTCACCTGCTCTGCAATCCGCAGTAACTACTCTCTAATGGGGCAAACGATTGGGACTCCTATCAGCTTGTACTTGCACTTTTCCCTCTTAATTTCTAGTGGAGATAGTCTTTACAGTAACGATTTTCATGTTATATATATTATATAATAACATGAAATATATAATATATATTATATATAATATATTTCATATATATAATATATAACTATACTATGGTATAGTTATATATATAGTATGTATATAGTATTTATATATAGTATATATAGTATGTATATATGTATATGTATATATATGTGTGTGTATAATATATATTATATATAATATATATTTCATATATATAATATATAACTATACTATATATAACATATATATGTTATATATGTTATATGTTATAACTATATATATATGTGTGTGTGTATATATATATATATATATATGTATACAGTGCAGAATGTGGATGTAATCTTTGGTCTTAAAGAACAGAGTATAAATGTGAGCTTCAAGATACATAGCTCAGCTTTTGAAAAACAGATAACATGACTGAAAAATAGTTAACGTGATTATAATATCCAAGGGCTAAAGTATTAAAAAAATTTTTAATGTTTATTTATTTTGAGAGAGAGACAGAGTGAGAGCAGGGGAGGGACAGAGAGAGAGGGAGACACAGAATACAAAACAGGTTCCGTGTTCTGAGCTGTCAGCACAGAGCCTGACGTGGATGTTGAAGCCACAGACTATGAGATCACGACCTGAGCCGAAGTCAGATGCTTAACCGACTGAGCCCCCCAGGCATCCAGGTTTGAAGAACCTCCATACTGTTTTCCAGAGTGGCTACGCCAGTTTGCATTCCAGCCAACAATGCACGAGGGCTTCCCTTTCTCCGCCAACACTTGTTTCCTGTGTTGTTAATTTTAACTATCCTAACAAGTGTAAGGTGACATCTCATTGCGGTTTTGATTTACATTTTCTAATGATTTGAGATGTGTGTATTTATTCATGTACCTGTTGGCTTTTCGTATATCTTCTTTGGAGAAATGGCTATTAAGGTCCTTTGCCCATTTTTTAATTGGGCTGTTTGTTTTTCATTCTTTTTTGCCATTGAGTTGTATGCATTCTTTATGTATTTTGGATATTAGGTCCTTATCAGATATATGGGTTGCAAATATTTCCCCCACTCCATAGGTTGTTGTTTTACTTTGTTGGTGGTTTCTTTAGCTGAGCAGAAGTGTTTTGTTTGATGTGGTCCCATTCGTTTATTTTTTTATTTTGTTGCCTGTGCTGTAGACGTCGCATCCAGACACCACCATCTAGAGTCACGTCAAGGAGGTTTTTTGCTAAGTTTTCTTCTAGGCATTTCGTGGTGGCAGGTCTTATATTTAAGTCTGTAACCATGTTGAGTTAGGTATGGGATGTGAATGTGCATGTGAATATCCAATTATCCCAGCACCATTTATTGAAAAGACTGTCTTCTTTTCTCCATTTAGTATTCTTTTTTTTTTAAATTTTTAGCATTTATTCAGTTTTGAGAGACAGAGAATGAGTGGGGAAGGGGCAGAGAGAGAGGGAGACACAGAATCTGAAACAGCCTCTGAGCCATCAGCATAGAGCCTGATGTGGGGCTCGAACCCACGAACTGTGAGATCATGACTTGAGCTGAAGTCGGACGCTCAACCAACTGAGCTGCCCAGGCTCCGCTCTCCATTCAGTATTCTTGGCCCTCTTGTCAAACATTAGTTAACTGTATAATGCTTGGGTTTATTTCTGGACTCCCATGTCTGTTCCATTGGTGTATTCATCTGTTTTCATGCCAGTACCATGCTCTTCTGATGACTACTGCTTTATAATATAGCTTCCAATCAGGGAGTGATGTTTTCTGCATTGCTCTTAGGATTTCTTTGGCTATTTGGGGTCTTTTGTGGTTCCATATAAATTTTAGGAGATTTTTTCCACTTTTGTAAAAAAATGCCATTGGAATCTTTATAGGGAATGTCTTAAATCTATAGAAGGCCTAGGATAGTATTGGCATTTTAGCAATATTAATTCTTCCAATCCATGAACATGGGATACTTTTCCATGTATTTGTGTCTTCTTTGATGTCTTTCATCAATGTCTTGTAGTTTTCAGAGGACAGATCTTTTACCTCCTTAAATTTATTCTATTTTTTTCCTTAAATTTATTCTTAAGTATTTTGTTTTTGATGCTATTGTGAGATAAATTTCAATTATTTCCTTTTGTGAACATTTGTTGGTATATAAAGACACTATTGACTTTCATATGTTGATTTTCATATGTTGATATTCATATGTTTCGTACGTTGAAACATATAAAGTTTTTTCTAACTTTGTATCCTGTAACTTTACTGAATTCATTGGTTAGATTTAATAGTTTTTTGGTTGAATATTTAGGATTTTTTCTCTATAAAATAATATCACTTGCAAATAGAGACAATTTTACTTCTTCCCTTTTAATCCAATCCCTTGTATTTCTTTTTCTTGCCTGATTGCTCTAGCTAGGACTTCTAGTATTATGTTGAACAGAAGTGGTGAGAACGGGCACCATTGTCTTCTTTTTGATCTTAGAGGAAAGGTTGTCAAACTTTCACCATTGAGCATGATGTTAGCTATGGGCTTGTCATCTGTGGTCTTCATGATGTTAAGATAGATTCTTTCTATAGCTAATTTATTAAGAGTTTTTATTTAGAAAAAAAAGTTGAATTTTGCCAAATGCTTTTACTGCCTCTGTTGAAATGATTGTATGATTTTTTCTTGTATTCAATTAATGTGATGTATCACAGTGATTGATTTTTATGTGTTGAACTATCCTCACATTCCAAGAAGTGAATCCCTTTTGATCATGGTGAACAGTCCTTTTATTGTGCTGCTGAATTTGGCTTGCTAGTATTTTATTGAGAATTTTGTATCAATATTCATCAGGGATATTGTCCTGTAGGCTTTTTGTTTGTTTGTTTTTCTGATAGCTTCCTTTTTTGGATTTGGTATCAGCATAAGGCTGACCTCATAAAATGAGTTTAGAAACATCTTCCCCTCTTCAATTTTTTATAAGAGCTTGAGAAGAATTAGTGTTAATTCTTCTTTAAATGTTTGATAAAATTTGCTAATAAAGCCATCTGGTCCTGGGCTTTTCTTCATTGGGAAATTATTTATTACAATCTCCTTCCTAGAAATTTGTCTGCTCATATTTTTTATTTCTCCCTTATTTAGTCCTGGTAATTATATGTTTCTAAACATTTTTTCCATTTTTTTCTAGGTTGTCCAGTTTGTTGGCAAATAGTTACTCCTCATAGACTCTTATGATCCTTTGAATCCACTGTAAGGTTTCCTTTTTCATTTATAATTTAGTTGATTTGGGTCCCTTCTCTTTTGTCTTTGGTTAGGTAAGGGTTTGTGAATTTTATCATTTCAAAGAACCAAGTCTTACTTTAATCTTTTCTATTGTTTTTCTCTTCTTTATTTCATTTATTTCTGCTCTAATCTTTATTATTTCCTTTCTTCTTCTAACTTCGTGTTCACTTTTTCCTTAAAGCATAAAATTCAGTTATTTATTTGGGATCCTTTTTGCTTCTTAATATAGACACTTATTTCAATAAACTTCCCTCTTAGAACTGTTTTTCCTGTGCCCCACAAGTTCTAATATGTTATGTTTCCATTTTTGTTTTTCACAAAAAACATTTTGTGGCTCCTGGTTAAGCGTCTGACTTCGGCTCAGGTCGTGGTCTCACAGTTCGTGGGTTCAAGCCCTGCATCAGGTTCTGTGCTGGCAGCTCAGAGTCTGGAGCCTGTTTTGGATTCTGTCTCTCTCTCTCTTTCTCTGCCCCTCCCCTGCTCATGTTCTGTCTCTCTCTGTCTCAAAAATAAATAAACTATAAAAAAATTTTTTTTTAATTTTATTTCTCCTTTAATTTCTTCTTTGATCCATTAGTTGTTCAGGAGAGTGTTGTTTAATTTATAAATTTTCCAGTTTTCCTTTTGTTATTGATTTCTGGCTTCACAACATTGTGGTCAGAGAAGATACTTGATATGATTGCCATCATTTAGAATTTGCTAAGACTTGTTTTGTGGTCTAACATATAGTTTATCCTAAAAATGGCTCATGCGCACCTGAAAAGAAAGTGTATTTGAATGCTCTGTACATGTCTGTTAGGGCCATTTGGTCTATAGTGCTGTTCAAGTCTGTTGTTTCTATATCGATTCTCTGTATGATCTTCCCACTGCTGAGAATGGGGTATTAAAGTCCTTAACTATTATTGTATTCCTGTTAATTTATCCTTTTACCTTTGCTAGTTTCTCCTGTATATATTTAGGTGTCCCAATGTTGAGTACAGAAATATTTACAATTGTTATATCTTTTCAATGTACTGACCCTTTTATCATCATTTAATAATCTTCTTTGTCTCTTTGTTACCATTTTTAATTTAAAGTCTGTTTTGTACAGCGCAGATATACCTACCTCTGCCTCGTTGTTGTTACCATTTGCTTGAAATGTCTGTTTTCATCCCTTCACCTTCAGTCTGTGAGTATCTTTAAGGCTAACATGAGCCCTTTCTAGACAGCATATTGTTTGGTCTTGGTTGTTTATCCATTCAACCATTCTATGTCTTTTGATTGAAGAATTCAATCCCTTTATGTTTAAAGTAATTATGGATAAGTAAGGACTTACTATTCCATTTTATTAATTGTTTTCTGGATTTTTTGTTTTTTGTTTTTTTGTTTTGTTTTGTTTTTTGAGATTTTGTTTGTTTGCTTTTGTCTTTGACTGTTGACAATTTAATTACAATGTGTCTCAGTGTAGCCCTAATTGAGTTCAACCTATTTGGGGTCATTTGGACCTCATGGATCTGAATGTCCATGTCCCCAGGTTTGGGGAGTTCTCTGTCATTATTATTTTAAGTATACTTTCTCTTCCTTTCTCCTCTTTTCCTTCAGTTATTTTCATAAAGTGAGCATCGTTTCTTTTTATTGTGTCCTGTAATTCCCATAGGCTTTCTTCACTCTTTTTTGTTCTTTTATCTTTTTGCTCCTCTGATTGAATAATTTCCAATGTCCTGCCCTCCGTCTCACTGATTCTTTATTCTGCATGGCTGAGTCTACTTTAAAAAACTTCTCTTCTACTGAATTCTTCAGCTCAGTTATTGCATTTTTCTACTCCAGGATTTTACTTGCTTGTTTTGATGGTCACTATCCCTTGTTGAACTTCTTAGTTTGTTCATGCATTATTTTTCCTAGTTTTGTTTGGTTGTCTGTGTTCTTGCACTTCACTAAACTTCCTTAAGAGGATTATTGTGCGTTCTCTGTCTGATGGTTCATAGATAGCCATTTCTTCAGAGTCAGTAGTTGGAGCTGTATTGTCTTCCTTTGGTGGTGTCAATATTGACCTGATTTTTCATGATCCTTGATTCATTACACTGGTATCTGTGCCTTTGAGTAACTGAGCTCTTCTTGTAGACCTTACAGCTTTGCTTTGGCCGAGACAGTTCTTCAGCAGTCAGCTCCATCTGAGTTTCTGGGTGTGTCTGCTGGGAATGTCCCTGGGCAGACCGGCCCTACTATTACGGGCTATTTTGGGCAGGGCAACTTCTCCAGCTCTGTGGGTGGGAGCTGGGCCTGTGCTGCTGGCTGAGGACTGTTGGCTAGGACTGCTGGTTTGGCTCCCTACCCACGTGAGGCTGCAGGATGGGCTCTGTGGTTGGCTGGACTCTGGTCAGATTTACTAGCTGGCCGGGACTGGGTACTATATTCAGTACCAGATGGGGCTGTGAATTAGTTCCCTGCCTCGGCAGGGCCACAGGGCCAGGACCTGCACAGCTCATGGGTTGGGGGCCTGAATCAGGCCACAACTCTCTGACCCGGTGAGGCCACTGGTTTGCTCTGCAGATGGGGGAGGTCACAGGCTGGGCTCTCTGTTCAAGAGCTGCTGAGCATAGGACCGTTGAATGGGCTACACAGCTTCCCTGTGCTTTAGTTGGGTTCCCTGGTCTGACAGGCTGAAAGCTGTATCCAGTGATGAGCGGGGCCGTGAGTCAGATGTGCAGGGACGTCCAGGAACGGCAGCTCTACAGCTGGTGAAGTTCTTTGTTCTTTATGGTAACTCAGGCCACCCCACGCCCCAAGCTCCCTGGAAGAACAGGGTCACTAGCTTTGCTCTGCGAATCACTGGCTCTGTCTGCCCTTCTCGCTGCTTTAGTGCTGCTGAGTCACACGGCTTCCAGGAGTTGCCCCAGCCCTTCTGTTTATATGGGGCTGGAAGACTCTGCACAGTGGATGGGGCTGTGTCTCAGCCCCGATGCCTGGGCGGGAAGAGGAAAAGATGCTCCTGGTTACTCTCGATTTCCCAAATAGGCAGTGTGGTTCGGAGGGGCTGGGAGCTGCCCTGGGTCTTGGCTGTGTATTAATTTCCCTGCTGTGTGCAGCACAGGAAGCTTCCACGTTCAGAACCGGCCTTCTGGGGGACCATCAGCTCGGCCAGCCCGCCAGCCTCTAGGCTTGACAGCACCGGGCTGCATGGCTTCCAGGACTGGGTGCCAGCCCTTCCGCTCCGACGGGGCTACAGGACAGTCTCCGCAGTGAGCGGGGCTGTGACTCAGCTCCTTGCCTGGGCACGGGCGAACTGGGCTCCAGGGCTGGTGGGATCCTCGTCTGGGGATCTGAATCAGGCGGATCTGTATCCCACCCGGCCCCCCTCTCAGACCGTGCCCCTCACTGTTGCAGTTTTGCCGAGGAACAAGACCTCTTGTTGAGATACTGCTTGGGCGCAGCAGATACGAACTTGGCTGTCAAGATCCAAGTGTTGTTGCAAGCCCCTCCCCCTTCTCCCTCATAGTCCCTTTCCCAGTGGCTGAGCTCCTCACATCCCCCTGCAACCCCCATGGGATGATATCAGATTAGGGGCTCCCACAAAATGACTCACGATGGCGGGGAGCCTAGTTGTCACCCGGGTTCCCTTTTCCCACTGGGGGCACCAGAGGCTCAGGGGAGACCTCTCCTCCTGGGGCTGTGCTGGCCTGGGGGAGGGGCAGCGTGGCCAGCGGGTGGCCGTGAGGCCGCTTCTCTTACCCTGCTGAGGAAGGATGTCCTGGCCTCTGAGGTGCAGGCGGTGCCTCAGCCTCACTGCCCTGTCCCGGGACTCTCTCAGTGGTGTCGTTCTGGAAGAATGTGAGTGGTTCTTGCGAGAGGGAGTGAAGTCAGGACAGCCTATGTTGTCATCTTAGTGATGTCATCCCAGCATATTTCCTAAGAGATGTCCACCAGGGCCGTGCCCGGGCTGTGCCTGTGATGAGGAAGGTTTAGAGAGGCCCACAACGTGTTCCTCATAATTGGAGGAACCCAGCCTCAGAGGTGTGTGCTCACTAATCGACACACTTCTGCAGGTATGCGGTTGCGACTGGGACAAGAATGGAAAATTCCAGAAAGCTGTCTTGACTTGTCAGCCAGTTTCAACATTGTTGGCAAAACGCATAATTGGAACTGTGAACCCCAGGCCGGAGTGAGGCTCAAATGGCTGATGCCTTTCGGGTGTCAAAAATACCCGTAATCACCCCTTTCTTTAAAATTAACATTTTCCTTATCACTTGGAGGTAAAAAAAGATGATTTTGTAGCTCTGCTTGAGTCCTCATGATCGCTTACTGAGTATTAAGGTGAAAGACTCAGTGTCTGGCACACCAGCTGAGGCAATGAATGTTCTAGAGGCCCGTGGGGTTTGACAGGTGGGAGGTGTTCCCAGCCACTAGGTGCCGCTGTTTGGCTGACCCCGAGCTCCCTGAAAGCTTCCAGAGCGGGGAGTCCTAGAAGATGGCTTTTTAAATCAGCAAACTTCCAGCTAAGAAGCTGAGGATAGCTTTCATTCTAGGGAAGTCTAATCAGGGATTTAATTTAAGGAAATTACTTCTGGAAGCAAATTAATGTCAATTTTCTTGACATTTACACCTGATATCATTGTTAATAAAAGCAGCACCATACAAATTGAAATTTGTCATAGTCATTACTTACACTTTCATCGGATACAGATGAAGAATGTGTATGTAAGGAATGGAGCAAATTGTTGCTTAAGTTTGGAATTCTTACACTTTGGAAATAAATGTATTTGGTGCCTTTTTTTTTTTTTTTTTCAGGAAGAGCAATTTATATTCTCTGCTCCCTGGTCTCACAGAGCATTCTCTTAATCAATTCACAAGTGTTTGAAAGCACATGAAGCCTCAGAGGGGCAGGCTGGCCCATAAGTGAGACGGGCGGCTGTGACAGGCGGTCCTCTGGGGTGCGGTGGGGGTCCTCCTGGCTCCTGTCCTCCCTCAGCCGAGGCCCCTTCAGCTCCTCAACACTTATCAGAGAGCACGGAGACCTGCTCAGGACAAGCTCAGCGGAAGCAGGGCCCAGAGAAGGCCCTGAAGTACCCCAAACTATGTTCCGGCTCACAGTGCTCACAATGTACACCGGCCCTTGAGCCATGCTGAGGTTCTGGGTCTCCCCTGCACCCCGCCTCCCCCATCCCTCGCACTCATTCCTACGGGGCCGTGTGAGAGGCCTGACGGTGCGCCTGCGTCTCCCACAGGAATCTGCAGAACCCCCACCCACGGCTTCTGGAAAGGCTAAGCACCTCATCTTGTACCCAAGAGAAGGAGCCAGGCAGGCTGCGGTTAGCGCTTGTGACGCCTTTTGTGGGCCCCCCGCGGAATGTGAGAGGAAACGCCCCACTCCATACTCTTGTATTTGGGTCTATATTTTTAAAAATTGTTTGTAATGTTTCATTATATTTGAGAGAGAGAGACAGAGAGGAGGGGCAGAGAGAGAAGGAGACACAGGATCTGAAGCAACTCCAGGCTCTGAGCTGTTAGCACAGAGCCCGACGCGGGGCTCAAACCCACAAACCCACAAACCGCAAGACTGTGACCTGAGCCAAAGTTGGACACTCGACCGACTGGGCCACCCAAGCGTCCACACACTCCTGTATGTGGGAGGGGAAGGGGGTTCCAGGTCTGGCCCACACACCTGCGTGCACACACCCCCTTTTGTTTATCACGTGCACGGTCCCTCTCCCTCTGACAGGCCTTCTGCTGCCTGAGCCACAGCACCAGCTTCTGCAGTCATTCAGCCTACTTGCTGGGACTGCCCTGTGTCGGATAAGCCATCAGTACCCAGAATCGTATCTGGACACCCATGGAACACGAGGATCCCCGTCGCCACAGAGCTCTCATACCACCGAAGGGAACAGACAGTGAGCAACGAAGCAAACAGAGAAATCAAACAAGTTCAGGTGGGGTGCAGACTGCCCCCCAGTAAAGCAGGTCACATGACAGGTTGTATGCGGGAGGTGATCACTCTCAGCTCCCGGCCCCCGGCCCCCATCGCTGTGAAGGTGACACAAACGTTGCCCGGCTCCACCGATACCGACCCACGTGGGTCCCCCACAGAAAGTGAGAGTTCCAGCCCACATCCTGTGAGCCCAGCGGAGCCGAGGCTTTCTGCGTGAACAGGGCCCCGCGGAGCCCTGTGAGTAGCTACGAAAGCTGGGAAGTCAAGGGCCAAACGCACCTTTGCCCATGATCCCCACGCAAGGGGCGAAGTGGTGCTCATGCTGGAATGTTCTGGGTAGTGTTTGACCCGTTATTTTGTCTGCACAGGCAAAGCTTCAGGGATGTAAAGCCACCCTGGTAAATCCCCAAGGGTAATCGGAGGGTGTGCCTCTGATCCCGCAACATGCAAACATCCATAAAGTTTGAATTTGTCCCCGAACTCAGTGACGCTGCACATGGGGATTTTACCTAGTTCTGTGCCTCCTTAGCTCCCGTCATTATCGCGGCACGTGGCTTCTTGAATCGTGGAGAAGGCTGGATGTTTCCCCGGTTTGCCTCTGGTCGCAAGGAGAGCAATGACTGGATTGTATGCGGGGAAATCCTTGCGTAAGACCTCAGTTCACCTCAGCAAGTCACATGACCTGTTTGCAAATCACAGGTCTCCCTGCGGCTACTTACCTGGGAACTGCCGGCCTCTCTCTGGGGAAGATTTGCCAGCAAGATGTGGAAAGGTAGACTGGATGAGAGTGTGGTGTGGCCAAGAACATTTCATAAAGACTTCTACTGAAAATCACCGCTTGGTTTTTCAACAAAAATAGCATAACCCCATTTTAATGAAAAAAAAAAAACATCTCCCGTGGCTCAGAAACAAATGAACAAATAAAGAAAAAAAAGACAAATAAAAAAACAGACGCTTAAGGACATTGGACACACTGGTGGCCGGAGGGGAAGGGTGGGGGATGGGAAGGGAAGGAGATGGATGGTTTTGAGTGTGGGGTGGTGAGGAGCGCTGTGTGGCGTTAAGAGTTGTCAAATCTCTATGTTGTACACCTGAATCTAATATAACACTGTGTGTTGACTATACTTCAATAACAAATGAAGAAATTTAGTAAGAAAAAAGAAAAATCATGCACACATGTGATATGCATATGTGCATATAAACTTGCACACAGGTGCATACGTGTGCACACCTGTGTACAAGGAGCCTATGAGCAGACTCAGGCCAGACCTTTCTCTGAACAACAGACGTGTGGGTGTCGGGGGCTCGCGGCCTCTGTTCATGCACCTGTATTCTTTTCCCACTTTTTTAGGAAAAGCGTTTACTTTCAAAAAGAATAAAGATTTGCATTTCATTATTATTTGTTCTAGAGAAAGAGAGCGAGGATGTGTGAGCGGGGGAGGGGCAGAGAGAGACTCTGAAGCAGGCCCCATGCCCAGCACGCTCGATCTCCCGAACGGTGGGGTCACAACCCAAGCTGAAGCCAAGAGTCAGACGCTTAGCTGACTGAGCCCCCCAGGACCCCCCAGAATAAACATTTTTAAAGGAAAATATATTTCTATAAAGAGCGTTGTTATAAAGAACTCTAAACATGAGCCTAAAACTCTGAACCATTTCTAGGCCTCTGATGTCGTCGGTGGCCTCTCTGAGGCGTCCTCGGCCCCCGAAGCCAGTGTAGACAGGCACCCGGGTACCTGCCCCCACAGACCGCTAGCCCTGCTCTCAGCTTTCTGTGCTTCCGGATGGAGCCCCACTGTCCCCCGCACGTGGTGGGGGTGTCCCTCGGAAGCGTGGCGGTCCCCCCGTGGCCACCCTGCTGCTCAGTGACAACTTCACCCCCGGCTGCTTGCACACGGGATCGGCCTGGCCTGTCGGCGATGCGGCAGAAGTGGGGCGTGGGCTTGGGCCCCTGCAGGCACCTGGCCGCGGCTGTGCACACGGCTCCCTGCGTTAGGCTGACACCCCGTGTGGGCCGCGGGGACACCTGCAGTGTGGGGACGGCGTGCGCCTTCTCGCAGCCCGGGACCCCGGCCAGCCCTGCTGGCCGTGACGGCCGCACGCCGGGCATTGCTCTCTGTCCCCAAGGACCAGCTGCCCCCACACCCCGCTCCCCTTCTGGGAGGCGACCACGTACCTGCTCCCTGGTCCCTGTGACCGTGACAGGCCGTGGGGCTGAGGCCGGGACCGGCGGGAGGCGCGGAGAAATCAGGCTGATGATGTGTCTGAGAACCGGAGGGATTGTGACTCACAGGTGAGCAAGGGTTCTGTGCTTACGGCGCGGCCTGCGGGGCAGCTTGGCCTCTGAGGCCGGGGTTGGGGCCACCGGTCCGTGTCCCCGCTCCCGAGCAGGGCGCCAGCCGCTGTGAGCCCTCCTCCCACAGAGATGTCTCCCGGAGTGTCCCTCACGGGCGGGCATCGGCGCACCTGCTGTCTGGCCTGTCCCGCCCCTGCCCCCCTGGGGAAGCGGCTGCGCGTGGCTCCGCGAGCGAAGTCCCGTCTTTCCAAGTGAACCCGAACCCCCTGCCTCTTGCAACACGATGATGGCCATGATGTCATGGTCTTTACTGCATTCTCGGTGGCCGTGGCTCCAGCTCTGTTTTGTGACATGGGATGGGAGTGAGGATTGAGGGGGGAAAGTCACACTCGTGGCCTGCGGACTCGTTTCCTGTCTGCCCACGGCCCCGATGCTTCAAGCAGCTCCTCCTCGCTGCGTCCACACCGCAGCTGCCTACCGAGCTCGACTCCTTTCTCAGCAGCACGCCGCGCCATCCTCAGGGTCTGCGGCAGAAAACGTCACTTACGACTTAAAAATGAACACACGACGGGGCGCCCGGGGGGCTCAGGGCGTTAGGCATCTGACTCCTGATTTCAGCTCAGGTCACGAGCTCACGATTGGTGAGTCCGAGCCCCGAGCTGGGCTCTGAGTTGACAGAGCAGAGCCTGCTTGGGATTCTCTCTGTCCCTGTCCCTGTCTCTCTGCTCCTCCCCTGCTCATGCTCACTGTCTCTCTCAAAAATAAATAAGCATGAAAAACAATAAAAATAAATAAAAATAACCACACAGAAAAGCCTTTTCCTGGTGCGGTTGACAATGACCGGGGTTTGGAAGCATCCGGGCGTGTCCCTCCGGCCGCATTCCTGGCTCTGGTGCCTGTGGAGGCTGAGTTGCGCCCGCAGGGTGGCCCAGAGTTGGGGCAGGGGGTTGGGGGAAGCTGGGAGGCCCATGTCAGGCTGTCTGTCCGCAGCCAGGCGTCCTGGGGTCTAACCGGCGTTTTGTCCTCTGTCTTGTGCTCGGCATTCAGCAAATATTTTTGGATTTAGAACGCAGACTCAGGAGAGTGCCTGACCTGTGACTGACGTTCCCAGAAGGGATCTGACATTCTGCGACTCGCCATAAAATCCTTTACTGAAGTGGCCTGGTGTCTGGAAGAGCCGATTTACTGCTGAAACATTTGCGAATTACTGCGCTTTGGCATCCTAAGCGATGACCGATGTTGCCAATTGGAAGTTCTTCCTCTTTACAAGACTCAACAAATAAGCAGTTAGAACGTCTCCTTCATCAGTATGAGGGGTCGTTAATACCCGGTCCCTTGTCCTTCAGACCCACTACTAACGAAAGAAAGGTAAGGTGGACATGTGTGTGTGTGTGTATGTATCTGTGAGTGTATGTGTGTATATACGTGTCCATGTGTGTGTGTGCCTATGTGTGTATGTGTGTGCCTGTGTGTATATGTGTGTGCTTATATGTGGATATACTTGTGTGTGTGTGAGTGTGCGTGTGTACATGCACACAGGTGTGTGCACATGTGCCTTGCAGGTGTGTGCGTGTGGTCTCAGTATTCGCCCTCTTCCTTTCTAGCTGATAGGCAAGGGGGGAGCGAGGGCGTGAGCATGGCTCAGGGCTGGGTTTGTCACACACACAATGTGCTCAGGACACACTCCCAAGCCCCCAGTGTCTCCTCTCGCCTCACCTGCCTTCACTCTCATCTGTGGGTCCCCACGTCTGCGCGGACTCCGGAAGCAAGGGAAGCTTACTGTCAGCCTCGCGAGGCCGGTCCCGCCGCCCGCTGCACCCCCCCCCCCCGGCTCGTGGTCGAGCAGCTGCGCGTGGGGCCGTCTGGCTCCCCCCCCCCGCCCCAGCTCACAGCAGGGCCTCGTTTCCTCACCCGCTGACCGACAGGCCCCTCTGAGTGTGGGGGCCCCACTGCGGGGGCCCATTGGAACCCTGCCTGCGCCTCCCCAGGGGGCTCCAAGGCTGGCCGCCTGGCCGACTCTGCTCTCACGCAGGAACGAGAATCACACCCGTCCCCCCACCTGCTCGTCTGTGACCTCACACGCGTTCATATTCAAATCCTCCTGGAAGACGGCCAGTGTCTCCCTCCTTGATCTCGTCCGACTCGAACATCACGCGGAGGAAAACTGTTTCTTCCCAGGGAACGGGTAGGGCGTTTCTCTAACTGAGGGCCTAACGCCTGTGTCCTCGGAGAGCAATGCCAAGGGTGTGCGTGGGGGCAGAGGGGGTCGCCCGAGGGTGTGTGGCCCAGGCCTGCCCGCAGCTGCGCGTGCAGCCAGCTGGGCGGTGACGAGCCCTGTGAACCGGGCACAGCTCAGCAGGACTCGAGGGGGGTCAGTGTCCGAAGGCCCTCCTCCCACGGCGGCCAGGACCTGCCCCTCCCCCGTGGACGCTTCCGACTCTTGTCTTGGGGCCCGGAGTCCCCCCCCCCAACAGACCGGGATGTGCAAACACTTTTGGAGTGTGAGCTTTACCATTGAAGTCGGGGGAACCCCGGGACGCATTGCCCTCCCCTCCTCCATCTCTAATGCACCTTCTAGATTGTTCTTTGAGGCCAGGGAGCAAATGCTGGAGGCCGGCTCTGGCGGAGAGCCTTCTGGTTACCTTTTACTCAAAATGAAGTCCTGCACCTTATCTCGTCCTACACACCCGCTCGGCCAGCTCCTGCTCAGGGGGTCACGTACCACACGGGGAGCGGGTCAGGGGGGCGCCAGGGGCAGGTGAGGAGGGCATGGGGAGGGCACGGAGACCTGGTCAGGGGGGCACCAGGAGTGGGTTGGGGGGCACGGGGAGCGGGTCAGGGGGCACAGGGAGCGGGTCGGGGGGCACAGGGAGCGGGTCGGGGGCACGGGGTGCTGGTCAGGGGACATGGGGAGCGGGTTAAGGGGGCACAGGGAGTGGGTCGGGGGGCACGGGGAGCGGGTCGGGGGGGCACCAGGGGCAGGTGAGGAGGGCATGGGGAGGGCACGGAGACCTGGTCAGGGGGGCACGGGGAGTGGGTCGGGGGGCACGGGGAGCGGGTCAGGGGGCATGGGGAACGGGTCAGGGGGGCACGGGGTGCTGGTCAGGGGGCACGGGGAGCGGGTCAAGGGGGCACGGGGAGCGGGTCAAGGGGGCACGGGGAGCGGGTCGGGGGGCACGGGGAGCGGGTCGGGGGGCACGGGGAACGGGTCAGGGGGGCACGGGGAGCGGGTCGGGGGGCACGGGGAGCGGGTCGGGGGCACGGGGAGCGGGTCGGGGGCACGGGGAGCGGGTCGGGGGGCATG